TGGCTGTCAGCAGGAAAATAAAACAGGACTTTATAAAGTAAACAAATGAATAAATAACAGTGATGCTTTAAAAAATTCCCTTCCCCTTCTGTAAACTCCATCCTCGATTGCAGTCCTCTGTCCATCCCAACATGTCCCAGCTCAACCGTCTGTGGCCAAGATGACAACAGCCCCGAAAATCCCGACATTCTGCCCGATGAGTTTCATCTGGTTCCAGAACTCAACACGGCGCGAGTCATGCCAGTAGCCGAGGTTCCCATCAATAAGCAGGATGACCAAGGGCAGGATCACGGAGAGGATCTGAGCGGCCGTCCTAATGTAATAGCCAGACAGGAAGGACAGGGCCAGCACCCCGTACAGGATGAAGAGCAGCTGCAGCGTGATTTCCCCCCCGAGGATGTGGTTCAGATAAGCCAGACGGTCCTCTTTGCTGTGCTGGAGGGAATAGGCCTGGGAGTGCAGAGGAACAATAAGCCAGGAGGTAGGGGTGAATTATCACAGATAGGAAGGGCACTGGGACTCCCAAGATACATGGCAGGTGTGTAACTACACGCACCACAACACTCCAGGGCAGCTGAAGACAGGAGATGTGCAGTTACCAGAGCCATAATCCAGCCAAGGCACAAGGGTTCACCTCTAGCTTTTTACAGAATCATAGAGAAGTAGGGCAGGAAAGGACCTCCAGAAGTCATCTGGTCCCACCCCTGCCTGAAACCCCACAGTATCCGAATGCCAGGTTGACCCATCCCCTAAAAGGCAGCACTGGAAGCAGCAGGCCAGTGCCATTCTGGAAGCAAAAAGGAACAGCACTTCCTCCCGAGTCCAACAAGAACCACCTCATTCATGCCAATTTCTGTCCGATCTGGTGAATTCAGTGCTTCTGCTTCCTAAATCCTCCCCTAAGAGACAGGTGCTTCCAAGGAGTGAGGCAACACAATGCATCATGGGACTGATCTGAGACCCAGCAGCGTAGTCAAGAGGGCGCAGGCCTCATGGGGCACCAACCCTCCTACAGCTGTGACTGGAACTGCCCCAACAACTGAACATTTCACCTACAGCCACTGAAGCAGTGCACTAACTCTCCCCTTCCTTCTAATCACTCAGCCTCCTCCTATTGCTCTAGTGCATTCAGTGTAAGCCAACACGCTGGCTGGCAGAGGCTTCGCTGCACAGCCCTACCATTGGCAGACATGACATTTCTAAGCCAAGCACATCCTGGACTAGCCAAAGCTTGCCCTGATGCAGATACGTACCACGCAAATGAGGTAGATGCCCAGGAAGACCTGCCCAGTGGACTGTAGGGACCTGCTCCGGGGCTTCTGGCGATACACCTCACCTGCACCACTCGCCAGGACCAGGAACCCACCAATGATAGCTATTGTGCGTGAATACATCCTCACCTGAAGGGGGATGACAGGATGTGTGTGCTTGTTAATGACTAGGAAAGAAAAAAGGAGCCTTGCAGGAAGCTTTCAGGAGAAACAGAAAAGGGTGAGGCATTTATATGAACAAGAGTGGTCTCAGCAGGGACCATATGGAGGGCAAGACCTCTCATGTTCAGACTTCAGGGCATGAGCTAATCATCAGCTGAGGTCAGAAGGAAACAGAGCAGGACTGCAACAAGGTGCACTGTCCACCTACTCTGGCCACTGTTTCAGAGCAGACTGAAGGCTACAGCAGGACCAAACCCAGGGGAAGAGTTGGGGGTAGAAAGAAAGAAAAGTAGTGACAGGGCAATTCTTACTCTGTCACAGGGCTGCGAAAGGCAGCTGGCTCAACAAGCCTGGAGACTGAGGCCTTCTGCTCAGAGCAGATGCAGCCCAGAGGGGAGCCAGGCAAGTCTGCCACACCCTCACTCCTTGAGGCAGCCAACCCTGAGGCACTGGGAGGCAACTGGCTCCTCTGTGGCAGCAGAGCCTGGGCTGAGCCTGCCTTCCTAATCAGGCAGGCGAAACAGCCACCACAGGCAACAACAGTTACCGAGCCGGGACGACACAGGAACGTAGGGTGGCAGGTGCTCCCCCCCCCGCCAGCCATCGGGGAACGGGGACGAGGGTCTCACCTTCAGCCAGTCTCCGTAGTGCACGTAGCCCCCGATGTAGGCCGCATACGTGCTGATGGCCAGCTGCAGAGCGGCTCCCAGCGCAAACCACCTGCGCTTCACCCCAAAGGACATGAAGCTGGCGCACAGCACCGCCGCCCCCATGTCGAAGTACAGGTACGGGATGGGGATGTCTGGCTTCCTGGGGAGAGAGAAGGGCTTTCAGCCGCCCCAGCAACACCACGCACACAGGGCAAAGCGGGCGCCATTCCCCACGCACACCCAGGGGTGCCCAGACGAGGCGGGGCAGGGCTGAGGAGCGACCCCACCGTCGGGGGCCGGGATCTGGTTGAGAAGGCCTCTTTCCCGCACCCGCAACCCAGCGCCCAAATGCTGTCTGCAGCACTGACGCCCCGTCCCCAGGCCAGGTGGTAGCCGGGCGAACTGCCCTGTGCCAGGGTCAGCAAACTCACCGGCCCGAGTCCGCATCCCGCCCACGGAGGACATCTCTGACACCCGCTGCCTCGTGCCCACAGCCGGGCGGGCAGAGCCCAGGTCCCCCTAGTCCCAGCCCAGCGCCCCGCCCCACCTGCGGGCGTCCGCGCGCTCGGCGAAGAGCAGCAGCGCGCCGAAGCAGTCCATCTTGGTGCGGGGCGGAAGCGGGGCCCCCCTCGGCCCTTCCGCGCACGCGCGCCCCCGCCCCATCCTGTTCCGCAAGCGTGTTCCCCCGCGCCCCGGGGCGCGGGGGTTCCGGCTGGGCGCGGGGCCGTGCCAGCTTCCCTTGCTCTGAGTGCCGGGGGGTGGGGGGCGAGAGCCCCGGCGCGCTAGCTGCAGCGGGGCCTGCCCCAAGCCCACTCCGCCCCACCACCATCTCCGTGGCCATGGGGCAGGACGAGGGGCAGGGCCCTCGGGCTGCAGGACAGGACGCTGGGCAGGGATGAGGAAGGGCTGTGGCTGTGTGGGGGCCAGGCACTGGGACAGGAGCCCAGGACCCGGGCTGTGGGGCCCCCTCCCTGCTCTAAGCGCTAGGCCCCGCTTCCTCCCATGCTGGAGCACCCCGGCATCCGGCTCCTCCTAGCGCACTGCTGGGCCTTGCCCTGGAGACGCTGGGGCAGGCTGGGAGCAGAACCTGAGCGGGGACTAGCCCAGCTGGGGCAAGCCCATGCCCCCTCGCTGCCAGGCTGGTGGGAGCAGGCAGCTCGCTGGAGGACGCAGGGCGACAGGGTGACACTGACTCCTATGTTTCCCGCACACCCGGTGACTCGGGCTGGGGGGCTGCAACACCACTAGGTGTCCTCGGAGCTCTCCAGGGTGGGGGCAGGGAAAGGGAGGGCCAGGGGTCTCCTTTCCTCCTCAAAGGACATTTCGAGCAAGGCTCCTTGGTGTTTCAAGGGGCCCAGTTCCCCTCTCGGGGGACCTGCATGGCTTCAGCAATGTCCCACAGGCCTGTGGCTCGTAACTGCTGGATGTCAAACGGCCAGCCCCTGGATGGGTTATGTGTCCCCCTAAACCTCCCCTTCCCCCCCAGCTGATCTGCACAAATTCAGAGAAAGAAGATGCACCCAGCCCTCTTACCAGTGCCTGCGCAAGGGAAGTGGGCAAAGGGCCCCACAAACAGCTGACAGACCTCACTACAGTGGAAGCTACTTGGGCAGGGTCGTCTGTGCTGGATGCTGCATGCACACAGAACAGCCCTGAACTCCAGCTCCCAAAGGCTCCTAGCAGCAGGCAAAGCCCCCAAGGGAGAAACCGTGCCAGAAGGTGGAAGGAAAGCAGGCTTTATTTCTGGTGTATTTATTCCTTCTTTCCCGTTCTAGGGCTATGCAGTATGACAGAGGGACAAGGTGCCATGGGAAGAGCATCGTACATCCTCAGAGTAGCCAGTTAACCCACAATGCTGAGGGCCCCATGGGAGACTATTCCTCAACAAGCTGCTGGAGGTGTGATGAGCTGCAGGAGTCCACCGCTGGGTCAGAATACAGTGCCAGTGTCTGGCTGTGCCCTAGGGACAGATTTAGGGTCTGAACCTGTCAAAAGACATGAACTGCAGCAAGGAGGCATACTCTCCCTATGCCTGAAGAAGGGTATTTGTGACCAAAAGCTTGCAAAGAACAATCTTTCCAACTATTTAGTTGGTCTAATGAAACACATCACATCTACCTAAAGAACCTTGTCTGCAGGGAGGCAAGGGCATTCAGTACCTTGAGTGACGAGCCCAGGAGCAGAGGGGAGGCTAAGAAAACAACCAGGCACTTCCCTGCCCCACCCCAGCTTCCCTCACTTCTCCTGTGAGTCAAAAGGACCCTCCAACTCATTCCAGCTCTTCTCCTGGCTCTTCTTCCTGTTCCGCTCTGCCATGACAATGGCAGCAATAACAGTCACCAGGACGGTGACAGTGATCACCAGGACCGTGGCTGTCTCCGCCATGCACAGCTGGGCTTCCCCAGCCACAAGGGGCAAGCCAGCCAGCTGCCAGGGGCTGGCACAGGTGATGTTCTCATAGTCATCGACGTGGAGGTGGCGCACACTCAGGATCTTGCTAAAGACACGCTGGAGGTCACAGTCACAGGCCCAAGGGTTGCCGGCAAGCTGGAGGTGGGTGCCAGCCGTCTGGATGTTCAGGAAGGTCTTAAACTTGAGGTGGATGAGCTGGTTTCTTGTCAAGGCCAAGAGGTTCATGCTGTGTAGAGAAGTGAAGGCCTCTCCTTCAATGACGCTGATGTTGTTGCTGCTGAGGACAAGGACTTCCAGGCTCTGGAGCATGGAGAAACAGCCATTGTGGATGAACTCTATCCAGTTGGCCTGGAGATAGAGATAGCGGAGCTGGGACAGGCCCCGAAAGGCCCCCTTCTCAATGAACGCCACCCAGTTGTAGCTCAGGTCCAGCTTCTCTAAGTTTTCCAGGTGCTGTAGACTCTCAAAGCCCACTGCCGAAAGATGGTTGTAAGCTGCTGTGAGCTCCCTCAGGGAGGATAGCTCGACAGAGAAATCACGCGGCAGCTGAGTCAGGAGATTGTGGCTGAGATCCATCTTCTCCAGGAACCCCAGAGACCTGAAGGCCTGGGGCCACAGCCTGCTGATGGAGTTGTGGGCAAGGAACAAGATCTTCATGGACCACAGGGCATTGAAGGAGCCTTCCTCCAGGCTGCTCAGGTTGTTGTGCTTCAGGTCCAGCATCCAAGTGCCATGAGGGATGTTGTGGGGCACGTGGGCCAGGTGCTGGCCGTGGCAGTCCACAAAGCTGGAGGACTCATAGCAGACACACAGCGGAGGGCAGGCTGTGGAGGTTCTTCCCCCCAGCACCCAGAGTAGACAGAGCACCACAAGTAAAGGCAGCATGGTGAATGCGGGTGGCAGGGGAGACTCGCTGCACTGAGCACAGTCCTGGTACAGACTGAAGGACAGAGGGAACCACCCCAGTCCAGATCACTTTCAGCCCAGTGTATCAGTCCCACCGTCGAGGAGGGGCTCGGATTTCCTTGGAGGAGGCTGTAACAAAAGACTGCTTTGCTGAATGACAGGCCATGAGCTTTCTTGGGCTTCAGTCTCTTCAGGACAAAGCAGAGGGAACATAAACAATTCCCAAGGGGAGGGAGCAGAATGGATAGGTCCATAATGGGACCATCTATTGGCATAGCCCGTCACTCGCATCATTGTCTTCCAGCCTGGGCTTCTCTTTCCATCTTACCTGCCAGCCCCTGGATACCCAACTGGGTAGGGCACTGTAAATATTGGAGAGGGGCAGGGAGAGCAACAGCCCCTCGTGGGGTTTCCCAAGAGACAGTCTCCCTACTCATCTAAGAACCCCAGCAGGGGTAATTTCATCCATGTAGAGAGCCATTGTGGGGGTAAGATTCTGCCCTGAGCCCAGAGGAGATGCTGCAGAGAGAGCTTCAGGTGGATCTAAGCAAGATCCAGATTCTAGACCAGGGCAGGCCAAAGTGTAAATTAGTGCAAGATGCTGCAGTTTTCCCCATGTTACCCCAACTTGGAATTTCTGCTCTGTGGAGTCGCCCGTTTCCCCTGCAGGCTGATTACACAGTCACTTCTTCCGAGGGAAATCCCTCCCTAGGCTCCCCATGGTGCCTGTGCCCCAACTGTGCAGACAAAATCATGTGCTGGGATCTGTTACGAAATAACTGCCTCTCCCACTTTGTGGCCTCCCCAGCACCCCCACCTTCTACCAGCCCCTCAGCCCTGCCAGCTGCAAGGTCATCTGCAGGGCTAGGAGATCTCCCACATGGGGCACTCTCCCAGGCAGGCACCAGTTCCTATCAGAAGCCCCCTGCCCCCATCCTGGGCTGCCTGGCCTGGGCACCAGCATATCTGCACAAGTGTTGCAAAGCAAATCAACTGCTGCTTCAGCCTTGACCACAGTTTGACTTGCTCTGAGGCTGGCAATTCCTACCCAACTGATTGCAAGATGGGTAGGAGAACGGCTGTCCAATGGGCAGGGAAACCCCTGCCTGGGCACCAAAAGGGGGAGAGGCAACTCTAGCCTGAACTGAGTCCCTTGGGCATGTTCAGCCTGAAAGGTCTCACTGCTGTGCAAATGCTGGCCACTTTCTGAGGTAGCAGGGGGAGGGGCATGGCCCTACTCACTGGTGCCTGGCCCCTGCCCCAGCCCAAGACTGGCAGGGAGAGCAGCAAACTCATTCTTGGCAGAGGATAGGAACCCAGCTCTGACACACCAGACCCGCATCCAAGCCACTTCACAGAGCCCTTGACAGAGCAGACTTGCATGTCCTCCCTGCTACATAACCTGGTAGTCCTGCATGGCCGGGCCTCCTCTAGGCTGCCAAACTACTGTCAGCGGCTGTAGCTCTGCAAGTAGTAGAGGTCCTGGGCTCAAACCCTGCTTCCCAGGAACCTGTGTGAACGCAGGGTATGTGCTGGGAGCTGGATCTGGTGATTGCTTTTCTGGGACCAGCTCTAGAGTTGGAAGGGCTGTTAGACAAGGTCTCAGACACCAAATGATTTGAGGGACAGCATGTAGGGCCTGGAAGCCTGTCCGCTGGCTCTCCTGGTGCTAGAGCTTATGCAATAAGAGTGACCAAACGCATCCTGCTTCTTAAAAGTATTGTCCATGCAAGCTGCCATCCAGGGGGGACAATGTGCTGTACCTAGAGGCTGCATCATGCTATACCTGCCAAGGGGGCAGTTAAGGGCACGCAGAAAGTCCACCCGTACCATGGCCCTTCCTCAGAGCAAAGTTGCCCCCCTCACTGTGCTACTTAGAGGCAGGCAGGGAGTGGGCCTGTGGTCTGTGGGAGGCAAGCCCAGCTCCAGTCCAGGGGGATGTGGCACCAGCCTGGCACATGGCCAAGGCAGGAAAAGGGAACATGGGGAGGGGCAGGGGGGTGTAGGGAGTGAGAGATGGGATCAGTCTGAGAGCATATATGGGGGGGGCGTGTGGATATGAGAGTGCCTCTGCAGAGTAGCATAGGCAGCCCAAGGAGAGGTCCCCTGGGGCAGGAGCTAGCATTGCCACCACCACAAGCCCCAGGGTAAGTGTCATGGCAGAGGGTGGACAAAGGACCCCCCTGACCACCAGAGAGCTCTAACCTCTAGGGTGGAGGGTCACATGTCTACTGCTCCCTCTTTCCAGCCCAATGAAACTCACTGGGCCACCAAAAAGCAGCCCCCTGGACCCATGATGAGAGAGAGTGTGTGTGGGGCTGGGAGCTGCTGCCAGGTGAAACATATGCACCCCAGCCACCAGGGAGAAGCAGTCTCCCTAGGCTGCCTTTGGGGGAAGGACCCACCCCCTCCGCAACTCTGTGTCCCTCATCCATGGAAGCTGAGGGGCAAGGAGAGAAGATGCCCTCCAGGCCCTTCTCCTGCCCTGTGCAGCTGGCCAGCCCCTTCCCCTGGAGGCCATGTCATTCCCAGCTGCTCCAAGAACAGGCAGGTAGGGGTAGAGTGGGACCAGCCTGGGGCTGAGGGAGCTGGAGTTGCTCACCCCACATGCATGTACCTGGGCTCCTGCTCCTTGCCGAGTCCAATTCCCAGGCAGGTGCAGCTGAGGTCCTTGGTGCTGTCGGAGGGGACCATGTCCTGGATCTGTCAGTGTGTGGAGTCTCACTCGGATGGGGATTACCAATGCCACCTGGCTGGATGCCACTCACCTGGTGTCTGTCTCTGTGTGTGTGTGTCTCTCTCCCCCCCCCCCCCCCCCCCATGGTGGCACAGTGCCCAGCAGAAGCCCTGAGCTTGGGGGCAGAGTTGGGGAAGGAGGAGGGGGCAGTGCTGGAAGAGATGGCAGATGGGCTGTCAAACTTCCAGCTCTTCCCTCCTCTGACAGGGGTGAGGTCTCCAAGCAATGAAGCGGGGGGGGGGGGGGGGGGGGGGGATTTTTGCCCTTTTTGCCCCCAGGATCAGTGCAAAAGGGCAGGCAGGGTAGAAGCTGGGGGAGGAGGAAGCTGCTAGGTCTGTCTCCCTGCCCTGGGGCTTGGGAGCACTGGGCCCATCAGGCGTGCAGTCCAGTGGCTAGGGAAGGGAATTTGGGCCCCCTAAGTGACTGGGAACCTAGGACCCCCTGCTCCACCCTTGGGTGTCATATTGAATGAAATAGTTTGAATGTTTGTAAAGGTTGCCCATTAGCCAGTTTCAGGAAGAAGATAGGATCTATCTCCTTATCTAGCTCATTGTTTTGGAGCTACGTGCGAAATGTCCTGACTTCGCCTAAAACCTTAATCTAAATTGTACCTTTAGAAGTTTTTTACAAAGAAAGTAAATGTCCTAAATTCCGAGAAATCAAAGCCTGGGGCCTTTTAACCAGACTGGTAAAAAGAAAAGAGTATTTACAGTGATATGGAAGTCTCCCCAAGAATAATTTAAAAATGCTCAACAAAGGTAATTTCTGTTGAGTAAGATCTGAGCCCAAATTTGGGAGGTCTGATAAATTGAGTAGGAGGAGCCCAATGACGGCAGCTCGCTCAATAAAAACCTGTAACTTACTGTCCCAATTTGGAGGTGACTTCCCTTGCAGAACAACGAAGGAAGAATCGCAAGTGTAAACTCGGATTAGATTGATCACCTAACCCAACCTCTCCGTGAACACGAATCTCTTAGTTCACGCTGAAGCCGCGGAGCACCTGAAAGGGACTGAAGGAAGGGGACTTAGTCCTATCACTGCTGAGCCCAGCTCATTGAATCGTATTGCTGAGGCGAGCCCATTGAACCATACTACTGAGGCCAACCCATTAAATCGTACTACTGAGGAATGAAACCATATTTTGGTATTTGGCTTCTCGGAATTCTAGGATTGTAAGTATATTATGAAAAATAACAGTATTGATTCAAATTTAACTTTTAGTTGTAATTGTAGTTGTTTTTGTAACACTAATTCTTATAGCATTGTTTGGGAAGGAAGTGCATTCAGAGCATTGTTTCTGATATATGTAATTATTGTGTTTTTAATGTTTGTGGTGTTTCTTAAAGCTAAGCAGTGTTATATACGTAGCAAAGAGTTTTAAAATAAAATTGTGTTGTATAAATTAAGTGTGTAATCATTGTGAAATCGTGCAATCAGCTAACTACTCCCCCAGCCAGTGCATCAAAACGAATCAGTAAATTGTGTGGGATTTTCTCTATTCCATAACCCACTAGAGACATTGGGCTGGCCAGCTGGCATCCTTGTGCCCTGAGGTACACAGTTGCAGCCAAGACTTTAGAAGCCTCCTTTTTAGGTGCCTGACTTGAGACACCCCAGAGCAGTGTTTCAGGGGCACTGAGCACCCCGGCACCACCTGACAGCGGCCAGCAGCTCCCAGCTCAGGCAGGCACCCAGCACTTGAGACACCCCCAAAGCAGGGGCCACCAACATTAACTGCGGCCTTCACTTCTCTCTGCCGGGACACAGAGGAACATTCTTGAATGCCATTAACGCCTGCTGCACTGCCCCCCAGAATTGGCTGCCTACCGGTGGCACCCATGCAGGCACCAAGCCCATTTTGAAGAGATTTCTGAGAGTGATTGTGCTGCACCTTCACATAGGCTTTGGTTCTTTCCCATGCCCTGCGGCAATGCCCTCCCCTGCCCTGCTCATTCTCCACTGATCAGGTCCATTTCCAGCCAGGAACTTGAGCAAGGGCTGGGGGTTTATAATTCATGGGGCTGGCATTGAGGCGTCTTGTGTTTCATTCACTCAGCGCCCGTGCCCGCATGCCAGACATGCAAAATTCATCACCCCACACCTCATCCATCATTCAGGAGCTCACCACTCACCCCAGCAGCTAATCAAGGCTTTTGTTTAACGAACAAGTTACCTGGCCGGATGCCTCACATGTGGAGGAGGTGGGGGGTTAAGCCACAGGTGTCCCACCTCCTAGTCAGCTTACTCCCTTCCAGCTGCAGCCTGCATCACTGTCATTCATGTCAGACCCTCTGGAGAGGCCCAGGGGAGGCCTTGGCACGCCTGCCCCACCTCTGCTGGGACAACCATAACTGAGACGTGGGTCCTCCCCTAGCCAGTGCTTCTGCACCACCCCGACACTGCCTCCTGCTGGGAAAGCTGGAAATGAAGCAAGCCACAGGAGAGAAAGGGAAGGGGAATACAAACAGAGAAATGAAGGACAAGTCAGTGCTCTCTCTCTCAGGCCCCTGGACAGATTACAGCATGGCTATCACTGCTACCCATGGCAGTCAGCAGAGGATCCCACAGCTGAACATGCTGACAAGGGGTTAAGGGAGCTACTTCCCACACAGCAGATGCCCCTAGCAGCCAAGTGTTGACAGAATCATCCCCCACAGCCTAGGATGCCATTCCAGGGCGGCCCCGGCAGGTAGTGCTCATGGAGAGAGCATCGGACAGACTGTGGGGTACTGGACAGAGCCAGCCTGGTGGGATTCTAGGATCCTATCTATAGACAGGAAAGAAATTCCCTCATCCTGGATTCCCTTACCCTGGATTCTAGAAACAGCATGCCTTGGGGTTTTCATTTCTGGGGGGAAAAAGCTTTGTCTAGCCCAGTAACAACTTCAGGATTCAGCAGAGAGCCCTGGGCAAGGCAGTATAGTGTGAGCTGGTGCCCTGAGGGGTGAGTGAGGTCCCAGGACTGGGTGGAACCCAAAGAACCTTGAGAGATCCCTGATCTGGGATCAGGCCCAGGGGACTGTAGATCCCAGATGCTGCTCCAACCATTGGGCAGCTGTGAACCACAGGGAGAGGACCAGAGCCAAGACTGCAGCACCAGCTGATACAGAAGGCAGGGCTGCTGGACCAGCTCTGACCTTCAGTGCATCCCAGCTCAAATGCTTCTTGACAAGCAGCTGAGACCTCACACAACCAGAGGCAGCAACCTGCCCCCCCATCCCCTTGCACTGCACACAAGGGGAAATCCACTGGATTCCCCGAAGCAAGTCAGTCATTCCCAAAGCCCACACATGTGCACCCTCATTTCCATAGCAGGAGCCACCAGCAAAGGCTTCACACAGGATACATAGCTGACGCTCAGTGTGCAGAGACAGGGTCTGAAAAGAACCAAGCACAGCCCCTTGTGCATGCACTGTAGGAATCACAAGGTCAGGAGTCCCTGCAGGGCCTGTACAGCCATATGCAACTGTGCTGTGCTGGCTGCTAAGTGCAAAAAACCCCGGAGAAAGGTGTCCTGGGAGAAGCATCCACCTAACCCTCTGCCAACAAATAGCTGATGCCCCTTCCCACCAGTTCATGCACATAACTAATCCTCCTCCAGTTATCTCGGTTTTTGGGGATTTCTTGCAGCAGGGCTGCATGTGTTACAGCACATACCCTTCCCACTATGCAGTCCCGCAGTGGCGGTGGGAGCAATACCCCTGTCCTCCAGCAGGGGGCAGACATGCCTAGACCAGCAAGGTGAGGTGTGCAGTGTTCTGGGTAATGATTGAGGCAGGAACTGAACTGGGCTCCATGGGCTGAGATGGAGAAGCTGGCACCAAAGAACCCAGCAAGGAGCAAGAGAAAGCTCCCCCTGGTCAGTGCAAAGCCAGACCAAGAGAGCAGGGCAAAGCAGGAGGTGGGGCTGGAGCCCCCTGCCCCACAGCACAGTGCATGGGGTGCATGTGCTATTCACTAAATCAGAGCAGGAGTGACCAGGACAGACACCCCCTCTACCCCTGCCAGTTCTCACCTTGAGAGAGAGGATCTGAGCAGAAATGAGGAGTCTCTCTCAGACTCTGTATTTCAGCCCTAAATCAGATGTATAATCGGGCAGTGCAGCACCCAAGGCCTAAGCTGTCATGTATAAAGGCTTTCTCAGGATTTGGCAACCATGAATCCCACCCAGCCCCAGCCAGTCCTCATCACACCTGCCTAGTCCAAAAGCAGTTACCAAAAAAGCACTTACGGGCTCCATCCAAGAAAGCAGCTGCTGGCAGAGGTTCCCAGCATGGAGGTGCAAAGATAGAGATATTGGCTTCACTGTCCCCCATGCAAGGCTTACAGTGATGGGGAGAGCTTTGAGTGCATTCAAGAGATGATCAGTGCCCCTCCCTCCCCCACACAGAACTCCCCAGCTAGTGCACAAGGCCATGATGACATCTATTTCTCCAGTCTTTCTCAGGAAAGCACATGGTGACAAGGTTGGGTATAATACCCATGCACTGGAAGAGACTCAGAACTCCAGACCCATCTCTCACACACAGGTGGGATCAGCAGGTGCATTTGGCTGCACACAAGACTAAGCTGGGGTGGCATCATCAGGCTCTGATCACCTAGGACAAGTAGCAGAGCAAACATTTTGGGCCAGCTCATGGCCTGTCTGTATGCAGATGGACCAATGGCAGTGCAGACCTCCATGGCAGCTGCACCACGAGCAGTCTAACAGAGGTCCCACAGCAAGCCCCCTCACATCACAGTGTGCCCAACTCAGATGCTGGCATTGCATGGCATATCCAGTTACACTGAACAGGTGACTGCATTACCTTGGTACAGTATCTAGAGCAGGCAGGGCTGGGGGAGTACAAGGGGGAAACTATTTGGCACTCAGTTGGTGACTTAAAGGATCTTGCCCCTCAAATTGTCATTAGCCCCTCTCCTGGATGGGAATGGGAGTACAGGCAGTCCTCAAATTTACAACATTTCAAGTTACACTATTTTGCACTTACATTTATAAATTGACACCTTGTTTCAACTTTATGGCATCAGTTTCGATTTTACAACGCTTCTCCAAAGCGACGCCACGCCAGTGAACAAGTTCACTGCGTCGTTCATCTCCCTGGAGAACATCTGTCCAAACTTCCTTGGAAACTTTCTTTAAGAAAGCCAACAAGACTCCAGAAAAACCTGCAGCCAAGACTCGTGAGAAGACTCTAGCCAAGAACCCTTCAAAAAGTCCAACCAAGAGCCCTTCAAGAAGTCCAGCAAAGTCACCTCAAATAAGTCCTTCCAAATCAATACGATTGCTATTTACAATATAAATACATTAACGTAGCTATATTACTCATCTATAATTGACGAGTACACAATTCTGGGGTACTTTAGTGAAAACCAGGTATTGAGCCTTGGTTCAGGAACCAATTCCACATTTATAATATTGTTTCTTATGAGAAAGTTGGTTCCCAGTTACAATGTTTCGACTTCAGATGGGTTTTCAGGAACCAATTGTGTTGTAAGTCCCTCATCTAGACACAAGAAGACTGTAGCAGGAGCTTCTAAACTGAGCCGGGAACATCTACAGGCAGCAGCTTCTGCTCCACAATGACCCTGCTGCAGTTGCTCAGCCACAGCTGGCTGTGAATTTCAAGCAGGTGAACTGTCCAAAGGGCAAGAGCCCAAAACACACTGCCAAGTAAGGCCCAGATGGGTCTTAGCAGGACAATTCCCCTCTTCTTCCTGACAGAGAAATTGCCAGCCCACATAGTAAGGCTTTTGACCAGATGAAGCCCTATCAGTGCTGGCACATCTCTGGCACACAATTGCTAGCAAGCAGCCTGTATGGAGTGAGCTTCCATGTAGGCCTCATTTGAGAAACCACCAGGCAATGCACCTGTACCAGTGTCCATGGGCCTTTGCTGTCTGAGTTGGAGCTGTAGGATCAACATGGGCTCTACATTTGCTTTACCTGGACAGTAGCCCAATATCTTCCTTCTCCAAGGCTGTTCTTGTTCCACGGTTATTCATTAAACTGAAACCATGGCCTCTCCACAATGAGGATTTAAAAAAAAAAAAAAAAAAAAAAAGCCACATTCCTCCTCCACCCACAAAAGCTGTAACTTGCCCAATTTGTTGGGCCAGTACTGGGCACAGCCAATCTTCTTTACCTGTTTAGAATTGCACAGCTATGTCTGTGAACTCTGGGTTGCCCTCCCAGCAGCCCTGCCACATAACATAGATGCAAGTCAGTGCCAAGGGCAGGGATCAGCAGCTTTTCTGGCTGTTCCACCCAAGCACCATGCCACCAAGTACTTACACCAAGGCAGCTGTTGTCATCTGTGGTTAGATTGCATTGTTCATACTGCGTAGGAACCCAGGCGCCTGAGACTCCACACCAAGGTCCTGCCTCCACTGAGGAGGGATTTTGAATACAGTTTTGTCATCAGTAAACCAAGCAGAGAGTCAGTTCAGCCCACACAGAAGGGTCCCTTGTAGCCAAGAAGGATGCAGGACTCTCTCACCCCCCAAGCCCTGGCTCCAGCCCCTTGCTGTGAGTAGACAAACCCACAGATGCAGACACAATTGATGGTTAAAAAAATTTTGGGTTTTATTGTTTTGCTAAACAATACTAAAAAATTTTCCATTTTTTTTTTTTTTAAGGCAGGGCTTGAATTATTTAAATTTTGATCCATTTATTTTAAAACAAAAAACAAAAACAAAAACAAAACAGAAAAAAATAGGTAAAAAGGGAAAGATCATGGCAAAAAAAGGAGAGAGAAAGAGAGAGAGAGAGAGAGAGGGAGAGAAAGGGAGAGACACTGACTTGCTTAGCTGGTCCCCATGCCCACCTACTCAGGGAGGGAGCAGGACTCAGGGGCTCCTTCACTGCTCCCCAAAGTCACACTGAGCTTGCCATTAGCCAACAGCCACAGTCACCCATACAGCACGGGTGTCAATCCAGCTGGCATTTCATTCCATTAGTACCATCTGGGTGTGACACACAATTAAGGTGAGCCAAAGCCACAGCTGAAGACTCCCAGGGTTCGGTAGGAGAGAAGCCACAGCGCACTCTCAACCAGTGGAGCACTGCAGCCTCTCCAAGACCGTCCCCAGAGGCATGTGCAGGCAGGCGGCTCAGTTCATAAGGGCCCTGGAAGTTAGCTAACTTTGCCCAGACGCTGAAGGGCCGAGTGCAAGTCCATTTGGATCGTGAGAACCGTTTAAGGCACACGCCCGAACACTATTCACTCGCATCCTCTGCGCACACCTGTGCAATGCAGGAGAGGATGCCAATGCAGCCCTGGAGCTTCTGGCCTGCAGGGGACAGGGCAGTACTACAATGCAGGGGTCAGAAGAGAATCTCCTGGCAGCAGTACCCTGCATCCTTCCTCCTGCCTGTCTCTCTTCCCAAGTCTGGGTACACTTCACAGGAAGAAATGAGAACCCAGGGGGAAGAGAGATCTGGAGCTCAGGGAGGTGCTATCATTTTCTTGACTCTCTTGCTCCCCCACAAACTTCCTGGGTTCAAGTTCTCCCTAGCATCACCTGGAA